TCCACCTGTCACTCAAGTGGCCACGCCCTTAATTATGCAGAACTTTAAGGCTTAATATAATTTAAACGGATGAGTTATAAAAAAAATTCACCCCCCACAGTTGTCATGAAGGGCAAAATTAGCAATATAGACCAAAACCACTTTTTTTACCAGCCTGTAAACATTTTTTCTGCTGTAAAGTTGGGCATTTTAACATGGGGAGTCTATGGGACGAACTCCCTTTTGGAGCCAGCCTCTAGCAGCCAGCCGATGAATTGCAGTTTTAGTTACTTCCGTGTTGGTTTCACGAGAGAGAGCGGGAGGTTGCCGCTTGGTCACAACGCAACGAGAGTTCGTGGAAAGATGTAAGTAGTACTGTATTAGAAAAATGTTTTACGATTGAAATTTTCAGCGACCGACAGTAAAAGACTATCTAGTAATGCAAATGACTCAACTTTTTATGAAATTTCGCCATTTTGAATTGAACATATGCGATCATGATTCATGTAAATCATAAATGAACAAGAGACGTTTGCGTTTTCGACTGTTAGACATACGAATAAGAGTGAATGTGCACATTTTAAAATAAAATATTATTTTTAAATAGTGTGAATTGACTACTACTTCATATGAAGAGTTCAGATGCAAAAGCCTCTAAAAGTGCCGATTGAAATTTTCTTCTAAAATTTGCATTTTTATCAGGCTCCTATAGGTTCAGTAATTTCACTTTAATAGCAATGAAGTTTCTTTTCTTTCCCATTAAAGTAAAATAACTGAACATAGTAAATGACTTAACTCAACAAAATGGTAAAATACATACATAAAGATCATGGTCACAGATGAGAACAAAACAGCGTTGGATGAAGTGGATTAGAGCCCTGTACGGGCCTCAAATATAAGTCCTAGCCCATAGTTTTTTTTATAAAGTTAATTTAGAAAAACGTTTGGAGCATTTTTTGTTCGTTAAATGCAAGTTTTTTTTTTGAAGTAACGACCAGCGGCAGACAATGAATTGATCATAGCCTATATGTTTGATCAATTTAGCCTTTTCAAATCGTCACGACTTGCCTAAAATAAAATCTATATATATAGTACCACAGTACAATGACTCCGTAAACTACCGTTAAACAAACATATCTGCCGTGTATTCACAAGTCCGCGTGCTTATATGTGTGTATTATGGCGTGGGGAGTGTGCAGCAGGGCTCTGGTGTGGATTATAACTGCGATCATATGCTGGAGTCACTGCAGCCTGATGGTGAGTTACTGATCCATTACACTAGCTACTCCTGACCATTATAACGCAGGTTAACACAATTATACTAGAGTCAAAGGAGCCTGATGATGAGTCTGAACACTGCCGATCGATTACCGTCCTCCTGATCTCTGATCACTTTGACCTGTGGCGTCTTTTTATTATTAGTCTAGTTTGGGTGCCATTGAATATGTGTAAGGATGAACTGTGTTGACCTGCTATCTGATCTGATCTGAGTGTATGAACAATGAAGACTTTTCAGATATGCACAAAGAGCAAAATATGGCCTACAGAAACAAGCTGTGCTGTTATATATGATGCTGAACTGATCCATGTATGTGGATGATCAATAGTGTCAAGAGTTATCTTAAAGTTATGTCTCGATTGCCCTGTTAGAAATGGGTTTGACCTATCCTATGTTGTACTATGCTGTCCTATCCTAAGTTTTGCCATACTTTTCTGTACTCTGCTGTAGTATTTCATTTTTTAGCAATTAACCAGAGAATCTTTGTCTAAAGCAGGGGTCAACAAACTCGGTCCTGGAGGGCCGGTGTCCTACAGAGTTTAGCTCCAACTCTAATCAAACACCTGAACAAGCTAATCAAGGTCTTACTAGACAGTACCGTCGCAAGGGCTGTGCCAAGTGTGCGACTGCACAGGGCCTCGCACCTCTAGAGGACCTCGCTCCTGGCCTGCATTTTATGTCATTTGTCTAATTTTTATTACTGTTTTCCCACCCATTTTGTCCTTTGAAAGACTAAAATAGTCATAGCTGATAGACAGCATAAGACTCTGTGTATAAGAATGAGTAAAGCTGTTTGTTGTTAGGATGACAAAAAGTTTGTGGTCCAACAGTGCTCGTCAATGTCAAAATGATCGAGATGGCCAATCAAATCAAAGAAGGCGGGTCTTACAGTCACTGTCACAACCATAGACTGTACAAAAACATGGATGTAGTATCCGTGACGTAACCCGTAGGTTTCCGAAGAGTGTTTTTGAAGCCTAAAGTAGGCGGAGCCGGCCGTCGCCATCTTGGCAGCGCGTCACTCCCGGATAATCGAAAATGGGTAAAGAGGCGGGAGCTGGTTGCTAAAACCACACCCACCTAGCTCGACGGTGGTGACAGCAGCAGCAATCCACCTGTCACTCAAGTGGCCACGCCCTTAATTATGCAGAACTTTAAGGCTTAATATAATTTAAACGGATGAGTTATAAAAAAAATTCACCCCCCACAGTTGTCATGAAGGGCAAAATTAGCAATATAGACCAAAACCACTTTTTTTACCAGCCTGTAAACATTTTTTCTGCTGTAAAGTTGGGCATTTTAACATGGGGAGTCTATGGGACGAACTCCCTTTTGGAGCCAGCCTCTAGCAGCCAGCCGATGAATTGCAGTTTTAGTTACTTCCGTGTTGGTTTCACGAGAGAGAGCGGGAGGTTGCCGCTTGGTCACAACGCAACGAGAGTTCGTGGAAAGATGTAAGTAGTACTGTATTAGAAAAATGTTTTACGATTGAAATTTTCAGCGACCGACAGTAAAAGACTATCTAGTAATGCAAATGACTCAACTTTTTATGAAATTTCGCCATTTTGAATTGAACATATGCGATCATGATTCATGTAAATCATAAATGAACAAGAGACGTTTGCGTTTTCGACTGTTAGACATACGAATAAGAGTGAATGTGCACATTTTAAAATAAAATATTATTTTTAAATAGTGTGAATTGACTACTACTTCATATGAAGAGTTCAGATGCAAAAGCCTCTAAAAGTGCCGATTGAAATTTTCTTCTAAAATTTGCATTTTTATCAGGCTCCTATAGGTTCAGTAATTTCACTTTAATAGCAATGAAGTTTCTTTTCTTTCCCATTAAAGTAAAATAACTGAACATAGTAAATGACTTAACTCAACAAAATGGTAAAATACATACATAAAGATCATGGTCACAGATGAGAACAAAACAGCGTTGGATGAAGTGGATTAGAGCCCTGTACGGGCCTCAAATATAAGTCCTAGCCCATAGTTTTTTTTATAAAGTTAATTTAGAAAAACGTTTGGAGCATTTTTTGTTCGTTAAATGCAAGTTTTTTTTTTGAAGTAACGACCAGCGGCAGACAATGAATTCATCATAGCCTATATGTTTGATCAATTTAGCCTTTTCAAATCGTCACTACTTGCCTAAAATAAAATCTATATATAAAACAGTTCAAGCATATCACAATGTTAGTTTAAATGTTTAACCTAGATAAATGTGCGGTTAAGACGCATTTCCAATCGTTTGTGCGGAGAGTGGAAGCTAAAGCACGCTTGACATGGAGGCGCCAGTGCGATCACTTGCATTTTTTTCTAACAGTGGAAACAATATAGTCATTTTTGCTTATAAAGGTAAGAGTAATACAGCATTCTAAACTGTAAAGGGTCCAGTTTTATTTGTGTGCACTCACAATATCAACAAAACGTTGTGCTTTTATAAAATAAAGAAAACAAACGCTTTCTGCCGTCTCGGTCTTGAACAGGAGCGCTTCACAATGATGAACCTAAACTCAGCGAATTGCCTCACAGACATGATAAAAATATATAGAAAGCTTTAAATTACTACTTTAAAAAATAATTTGAAGGATTTGCTGCAACACAATTTTGTCTGATATGTGAATTATTTATTAGCCTATTTTTTTTTTATCCATGCAGCAAATGCTTTAAAAATTACTTTATTGCACTCCAGATGCTTTTAAAGTACTTTTCACTATACATTTTAAGGGGTAGCTTGAATGTAAAACATTGTCATAAATTCGTTGTATTCCCATTTGTAAAATAGCCAACAAATTAATTGTTGTAGGCTAACCCCATCTCATGAAAGTGCGTATAGCATTGGCGTAATATTTCTATGCAGAAATTGACTTTGGCATGCAAAATACTGATAAATTCATAATTAATGGCATGGCTGGTTCACTCGACAGAAATATGGGACACACAGGCCTATGATAACTGCTGAAATGTTTGCGGGGCAAATCTCAGGTCAGTCTGAGCGCTCATGGTAGGCACAGTGCGTACAGCCATACACCTGCAGGCGCCAATGATGCAGATCTTACAATTCTTATGAGCGTGTGCATGACCGTGATTCATGCTCATGTCAGTGAGCACGGCATCACAATCGATCAGATGCGTGTTAAAGTTGCGTTCGTTACTATAGCAAATTCTCAGTCACATATAAACAAATATGATCATTTTGATTAATATAGTCAATAATAATAATAATAATGCATTGACTTTATTCAAGGCTTTTACCATCCTGTTACCATCATAAATCCCATTTAATAAAATAATGCAAACCATCACTTTAACAATTCAGCATCATATTTCTATGGCCTGTTATACTGCTTTTAATCCAAGTTGATAGGAGAAATCATGAAATATAACTAGGTGTAAAATCACTGCATTGGTAAATAAAGCATTTCATCCCATACCTGGTTTTAAAAAATTTTATTAAAACACTGTAAAAATGTTTTTTTTTTCTTTTATGCTGTCCAGCAGCTATTGTTTGGTGTTTGACTCTGCGCTCTGATAATCTGTGGGGGAAACCAAGAGAAAAAGTTTGTGCAAAGTGTTTTAATAAGGTTAGCAATACAAAATGACTTCATTTAAAACAGACACTTTCGGTTCATTTAAAACATATCTTACCAATTCAAATATTCTGACCATCTGCCAGCGTGGATAAAATGACAAAATAATTAAATGTTAACATGTTTGTGCAGTTGTTGTTTTGGGGTAGGCATCGGTCTTTAGCTACCCTATAAGTAAAGACAATAATAATTGAAGAACCAACTTACAGTATTTTAAAATATAAATAAATCTAATGAAATGCACTCACCTTCGAGATCACCAGCTATTTGTACTGGCGGTTACTGTGTTGCAGGTATAAAATCCACCAGTTTATATCCCTAGAAAAAGAATGAATGGACTTAAAACCAAAATAATGAGAGAAACAGAGACATGAAGCCAAGCACAGAAAGTGTATAGTCATAAGTGTCTCATGCACCACTGACACAGAAGACTACTTTTACAACATAAAATTAGATACCGAACCTTACTTAAAACACAGTTGAAAACTTGCTCACTGTGATAGTTCGGCACTCATGTTTTCACCACAACCACGAAAACAACCAAGCAACTAAATCTTTAAACTGTTACCTAATTTTGATGAGCACAAATAATTCACATGAAAGAAAACTAAAATTCTCCTCTTACCTACCAGTCTGGTATGTTAAATACCTTACTTTGGTAGCTGTTTCTCGCTAGTCTTACAACAGCAATCATCTGTTCTCAATAAGACTGCTGGCGATTCCAATAAGCTAGCCTCTCAGCTGGCTCATCCCAATGGCTAGCCTCTCTTCGATGGACCGCTTCTCAACAGTCTCTTCTCTTTGGCTAGCCTTTAAGCTGGCTCCTCCCGACGGCTAGAATCTTTGCTGGCACTTCATCAGATAGTCTGACCGCTTACGTGCAAGATTGCCTTCAGGCGGCAATTCAGAGTTGCTAAAAATCCTCTCATGGATTTCATTCCCCAGTGGAACTCCAACAAAAAACATCATTTGTCCAAAATATGAACTATGTGCTACCCATATGTTGCAAAATACACAAACACCAGGACGAGTGCTAGGCCCAATTGTAAATCGAAATGACCAAGCTAATTAAAGTTTTGCTGATGTTAAATTCGTAGATCTTGGATTTCTTTACAGGTTTTACACATTAACGTTACATTAATTATCCAGTAACCAAGGCTCATTAATGCTTTAACCAAAGGTCAAAGCGACTTTAGGGTAAGGCTTCAAATCTACATCGAGACAAAAACAATGTAGACAACAAAAACCAACAGCATCAGAACATGCTTGTGGGTCTGTCATCAGTCATTCATGCAACTGGGCGAGTACTCACAATTTACCAAATCAAAACACTGACGAATACAATTAAATAAAAAAACTGGAGCGGTTTATTTAATCTTGATTGGTGACTGTTCACATTAACAAAAAAAAAAAAAAGGAAAAAAAAAAACAAAACACAGACACCCTACTGGTTCAAGAGAAAAGCCAACACAACAATTAAACCCTGCATTAAATCTCGTTGGAATGCTTTGCACTTCACAGACATAAAAGGCAAAACTACAAACTAGTAAATGTCTTCCAGGACAAGAGTACTTTTTGAAAGTTTTTTTTTTTTTTTTTTAACCCCTTCAAACCCCCCTCTTTGTTAATCTGTTAGAATATGCATATACATCCTCCTTTTTTCATTAATCAAGGTCTGACATTATGTCGTGGGGATTTTTTCTATCTTGCTATTTTTTTTTAAATGCTTGATTTGTCTAATTATTTTCTTCAATAAATTCCTACTTGCCACCTATAAAAGAACCGTGATTGAGATGTGACACAAAAGCTGTGACATCTGTAAAATTTCATAAACTAAATATTTCAGTTAAAATAGTTCCTTAACTGCCGCGTTCTATAGACAAACTTCAGAACATTTCAATGTCCGAAAGAGCCTTAGTGGAATGGAAATGGTTTGAATTCAAATATAATTATTTAATACCATGTACAACACTGCAATGTTCACTCACCGCCATATGGGCCACCTCCGCTCCTTCCACCACCGCCGTAGTTTCCTCCCTTCATTGGGCCGTAGTTAGAGGAAGATTGATTGTTGTAGTTGCCGAAGTCGTTGTAGCCTCCGCCACCTCCAAAGTTGCCTGCAAAACTTCAGTGTTATTTGCTACAGAAGCAGCATGGTAGGAGAACCTTACTTGCATATCCTATGACTCGACACAAAGAGTTACAAAGCAAACCTAGAAGAACAAAAGTAAGAACATGGCAAAATGGTTCACAGGGTAACTGACCTCCACCAAAGTTGCCTCCACCACCACCATTGTTGTTGTAGTTATCATAGCCACCGCCGCTGCCACCGTAGCCTCCACCCTGGTTTCCATAGCCACCACCACCTCCGCCACCTCCTCCATAACCACGGTTGCCTCCATAATTAGGTCCACCTCCACCATAGCCGCCTGATAAAGAGATGGGAGATAAACATTATCATGGAAACACTGTTGAATGGTCAAATGTAATGTGAATCACATTCCTAAAGTCTTTATACATACCATTCCCTCCGTAGCCATTATATCCATCGCCTCCACCGTAACCACCTCTTCCTCCTCCATATCCACCTACAAAAGGGAAAGCATTTCAAAGTTAAAAACTCGTAAGGAACACTGTTGACCAGTAGTTCTCCAAAAGGTGGGTCAGTGTGTTATTGAATTTGAACCTAAATAATAATTTCCAATTATTCCATGAATAATGCATAGTACAAAGTGAAAAGTAGTAGGATTAATCTAACTACTTGGGTATGGATACAACTATTCACATTTGAGGATGTCCGCATAAGTCTGCATAATCTTTTACATTTTATGTTTAGTCGGGTAAGGACTTGGGGACAAAAAAGTTTGTGAATCTCTGCTACAGACCACTACAAACTATAAAACAAAAATGAGAACATAATATGCAAAATCGCACCTCCATATCCTCCACCTCTGCCAAAGTTTCCACCGCCGCCACCGCCACTACCACCACCTCCTCCTCGCCCGCCTATATGATGGGTTATATGAAAAGGTTATTTTTACACTTCAGATATTTTTAACAAAACATCAAAGAGCTATGCAACAAATCAAGACAGCTAAAATAAAAACGATTCTGTGATGCATTTTATTTCCACTGAGGTATATGCTATTGCATTTATTTTTCCAATGTGTAATAATTACCTCGTTGATTAATCGACACCCTGTTCATTTCCTCTCTGGAGAGAGCTTTCCTGACTTCACAGTTGTGTCCATTCACTGTGTGGTATTTCTGTACACAGGGGGCTGAAACTGCTATAGATAGTGGACACAAATGAGTGGCAGTCACTTACTGACAATCCTGTCAACAGAGTCATGGTCATCAAATGTTACGAAAGCGAAGCCCCTTCTCTTATCACTGTTCTTCTCAGTCATGATGTTCACCTCGTCAATTTTACCAAACTGGCCGAAATACTCGCGCAGATGCTCCTCATCCGTGTCTTCTTTGATTCCGCCCACAAACATCTTTTTAACAGTGGAGTGAGCGCCTGCTTTGCACGAGTCCTGAAATCAGCGTATGTAAGCAATTATTGCAATATACAAAAAATAAGTATAGTTATCCATTCACAAATATCACTAGATAAAAAGATGACATAACAACAATTTTAGTGGCAAATACCAGAACGTTATTTAATTTGATTTTATAAAAATGGGAACACTGATTGTAAGGTTTCTCAGAATGAACACCTACTTCTCTAGACACCGCCCTCTTGGGTTCAACAGCTCTTCCGTCCACTTTGTGCGGACGAGCGTCCATCGCTGCATCCACCTCATTCACCGAACTATAGGTCACAAACCCAAAACCCCTCGACCTCTTTGTGTTGGGGTCCCTCATCACCTGTGAGCAGAAAGGGGTAAAGAAAAGACATAAGCAGCTGGTTTCAGAGCCTGCTCTCGTTCATTAGCATGTGAATGCAGGCAGATGTACTCACCACACAGTCTGTAAGAGCTCCCCATTGCTCGAAATGGGCCCTTAGACTCTCATCTGTTGTCTCGAAACTGAGGCCCCCGATAAAGAGTTTTCGGAGCTGCTCAGGCTCACGGGGGGTCTGTTGCTGTGAGAATCAAAACCATTCAAATCAATACCCATATAAATGGCAACGTTACAAACAGCTCTAAATGTATGCTCCTATTCAAACAGACACAGCACATTTGGTTTCCCTGCACCCGTATGGCATAACACAAACCAAAGGAGCACTGAAAACAAGTTGCTTTAAAGCAAAGGACGCAAACTGAACTACACTGTTAATTCATAAATATCAAAACTGCCAATGCTATCGAGCTCTGCCGATATTGTGTCGATCAAATTGATCTGTGATGCAGGAGCGCATCTGCAATAGTGCGGCCTACAGCACCACCACAAATCAAATGTCTTTTTCGATGGAAAAATACATTTACGCAAAGAAACACTGATCTTAAGAAAGCACGGATGAATCAAAAAATGAAGTGTTGAAACAATTCAAAACAAAGGAATTGCGTTTTAGCTCGTGTGTCGATACGAGTCTCTGCAGAGAACAAAGAAAAAGACGAAGCCGCGAGGAAATGCGCGTTTTTACCAACAGCTAATTTCTCTAAATAAATTATCTCACTCTTTTACACTTGACTTCATAACAATCACAAAATACTTAACAGTTCAAATGCAATCTATATGCTACAACCATAATATCTTTGTGTTTTTACCTCTTTGGACATGGCGGTCTCCCAGTGACTGACAGCAGCCCTCGCACGGAATGCAACACTGTCAGTGCGCAGCCGCTAGCAGCTCGACGCGCTGCTGCTTCTTCTTCTGTTCGCATGGCGGGCTACAGACCGTCGTTCAAGGTGCATACTGCCACCTATTGGGTTGGAGTGTGTAAAATGCTTTATTGTTCTCTTACATTCTCCTTACAAGACCAGGAAAAAAAATGAACGAAAGGCCAGTAAAAAAATGAATGAAATTGTTTTCTCTTTGATGCCCTAACGACGTCCAGTTGATTCCTATTTCCTATTTCTAACATATCTTTAAATGCCCATTTCCTTACTTCTTCCCTAAATTTCCTAGTACATGCTCTACATTTCTTTTGCATTTATATATATACACATTATATATATTTCACATTATATACCCTGGAACAGAAGCTGCTCTGGAGCAGGTTATCTACAGAGAGCAAGTTACTATGGTTACTTACATACCCTGAAGGTAACCTCCGATTTTGGAACCGAAAGCTGAGGTTATCCGCTCGCTTATCCTCAAACATACCCGGGTATGTCACATAACCTGCTTTTTGGAATACCCCCCAGATGAGAATATATCTCTCCAGTCATTGTTTGATTGTGAATTGATGATTGATGATGTGAAGTTGAAAGTTGGATGGTGGAAAAGTTTCGTCAATTAAATGACTCCAAGACTAAAGTGTTAATTTTCTGGTCCTCCTGAATGTGCCAACATTCTCTCTAAAACCTTGGGTTCTGTAAATAACAGTGTAGGCACTCGTGCAAGAAATTTGGGAGACAGTTTTGACCCGGTACTCAAATTTGATAAACAAATAATCTCAGTTGTTACATCAGCATTTTTCATTTTAGGATGACTACCAAAATTAAATCTCTCCTACCATTTAGCAACTGTTATTCATGCATTCACTTCATCAAACTCGACTACTGTAACTTATTGTATTTAGGGGTCACTCAATCTTGTTTATCTCGCCTCCAGTTGGTCCAAAATGTCACTGTAAGGGAATTAAGCCTCAAACTTAGAATACAAAAACATTAGTACTTATAGTCTTACGGATGATCATTTGACATCATTTCTACAGGTTCTGATAAGTTAACAGTACATGATGTTTGTTTGTTTGTTTGTTTGCTTTTTTAACGCAAATGTGGTTAAGACAGTATCTTTGAGTTACTAAGTTCCATTCATAAGCAACTACAGTATCGTAAGGGTCATATAAGTGAGTCATAAATCTTGTGAGGGCAGCTATTGATTCTCCTGGAGACTGTTCCTTGGGTATGGTCACATGTCTATCATATTCTTAAACAAACGCTGCAAATATGGCAATATTTTTTCCCTTCAAGGTTGAGCTGCAGCACATCAATGGAACAGAATCATACATTCACACAGAGCACTTACAAACTTCCACACGCTACTCACTCTCATAGTTCAACATATAGCAACTAATAGTGCTATAAACTCTAAAAATAACCATAAACGTTAAGCATGTATAAGAGTTAGTGGAAATATGTAGTGCATTGGTCTTTACATGTCTCATACAGCTATCATTAGAACCACATAATAAAATGAATAAGAGCAAAGTTTAATCTACAACTCTCTTTCTATGAAATATAACATTTGATTATATAATGATTCAGCTGAATTATTACAAAACAAATACATATTCTCTGGAAGCTGAGCTTAATGAGTAAACACTGTTACTGCAGTATAGAAAATAATCACCCTCCTTTAAAATAATCACATTTTGTTGCTTTGCAGCCTGAAATGAAGACTGACACAGTTTTTGTTTTATCCAGCTCTATTTACTCAGTGCAACTTATAACACCCAAGTGAAAGATATGAGCTTCAGGAAGCTATGCTATATCATCATGAGGAGAAACTCTCCAATGCCTGTCTCACTGTAGATGATCTGGTTGCGCGGGTCACCGAACTCTTGGGCCGATTGCATCAGTTTGATTTCACCGAACAGTATACCATTCTGCCAGTGCCCGGACAAATATTCTCGAGCCATGCATCAATAACCTGCCAGTATATGCTGGCAAACCTAATAATTGTTGCTCTTTCATTGTACAGTGTGAGGTGGTGTTCTTACCTGCACAAATGGTCAAAAGTAGCTTACGTTATCTCACTAGTCGTTCGAGCTTGTGACTGGGGTGCTGCCATGTGGGATTTGCAGGGGCCGTGCTGTGAGGGTTTACGTGAGTTCAAGCTTGAGATGATCAAGGTCTTTGGTTAGTCAGTCTTCAGTAAGGAGACTTCTTGACAACTGGCAGTCCTTCATCAAGGTGGTGGATTACACCATTGGTTGCAGATGACGGGTGAAGGGAATCCAGCGGCACTGGCAGCTTGGCGTATTGAGGTCAAGGATGAGAGTTTCACAAATCACCTGCCCAGTGAGTATGGTCCCTTCAGGGAATCACAGTGAAGACCTAAACTTTTATTTATTTAACTCCCTCTGTATCCCTGTTGTTTTGGGTCACCCCTTGCTTTCCTCACATAACTCTCATAGTCACTGGACAACAACACTAGCCTGTCTTGGTGTCTTTCTTGTCATGCTACCTGTCTTGCATCTGCACTGTCTCCAGTCTCTCATCTAAATTTTTTGTTGTTTACGACACTACTATTTTGATCACACCGACAGTTTGATTTTGATCCTAAATGACAGTTTGTGGCAGAAGTGGATGCATCAGGGGTGGGTGACGGAGTGGTTCTTTCCCAAAAATACCCTTATGATAATAAGTTACATCAGTGGCTTTTGGGGAGTGGTAGCCGACCACCGAAATATGAAATATATTCAGTCTGCCAAATGGCTGAATTCCAGGTATGCTAGTTGGGCTTTGTTCTTTGAGCGTTCCTCCAGATACCATTTTGTCTCTCAGGGCATGTGATCGGGGCCGTCACCTGGCTCTAGCTGGAATCAAGGTGCCTGGGGAATGTCTGGCGGCTCTGCTATTCATGCCTGCTGTTGTCCACACTGCAGTTCTTTAGTGGGGTCACACCTCCAAGCTAATGTATTGTCCTGGTGTAAGGAGGTTGCTGGCAGCCATCCGTTAGTGCTTTTGGTGGCAGGCCATGGCATCTGTTGGTTCGTTAGGGTGTGCAACGTGTGCATTCAAAACAAGTCTTCTAATCAACCTCCTATTGGTCTGTTACACCCCCTTCTCTGGTCACCTATTGCCCTGGATCACTTATGGCGCTTTTCCACTGCGTGGTATAACTCGGCTCGGCACGGCTCAGTACGGTACGACACGACACGGCACGGCTCAGCTCGGTTTGCGTTTCCACTGCAGTTTAGTATCGCTTTAGAGTGGGCGGGATTATTCACATGTCA